AGTACGGCCATAATCTTTCTTTTAAGTAAATTCTGGAATCAGGTACAATAAACTATTCCCCAAATTTTGAAAATTTATTAAAACTCAAGTTATTCCACGATCGAATAGCTTCTATTAAATCTAATAATTAAACTCAATTTGAAACTAAAAAAGTAGAAAATAATTTCAATGAAGATCAATCCAAACCCTAATACTTTGCAAAATTATTAACAACTACACAAAATATTATTACAATTTAATTGTTGTCTCAATTTTTTCAAGTTCAATCGATTTTGTGGTTGCTATTCAGCACTCATGGCTCAAGCGGGCGACTTCACATTGAATATTCAACAAAAGTTGAAAGTAAGCTATAAACATCAGCTAATGAATGCAAATTTAAGCTGAAATGTTTAATCCAATCGATTAGATTTTATACATTCTAGAAAGATGTTCATACAATGGCGTTAGAATTGGCGACTTATGTTTCATCCAAAAGTCACTCATTATCCATGTAAGTAAGAGTGTGTACAAGAAAATATTATTCAATTTATCAATAAACTTTTAATTTCAGTTTTTTCTTGAGAATGCATCAACCATATTGTTGTTGGTTGTTAATTTACGTTCATTGCAAGATGGTTCCTACAAAGGATGATGGACTTACAGCGCGCTCGCTACTAACTACTGCTGAGTTTTGCTCAATAAAGAGATTATTTATTTCACGATTGGAACTGTTAGAATTATGGAATGATTTTGACTGGTCTTAAAAAGTAACTGATTTATTTTGGAATAGTATGAAAATACATTTCTGAATGAAAATCCATAAAAAGATTCTGAAAAATAGCATAATTATTTTTCCTATTCATTTTGAATGTACATTCAGTCTTTTCGATTCGTTTATTGGAAAATAAATTTACTTTATAATGCAAAAAAGAAAACATTAAATATTAAAAACTAAATTTAATAGCTTTGGAATCCATTATGCTTCTTCATTCAATGAAAAGCAAACAATGAATGCAAGAGTTAAAAGTGCTAAACCTGGAATCGTTCACCTCATTGGATATTTCAAACGATTGTTTAATAATCCTCGTACGATTCCAGATACAAATGCATTTGATCAAAGTGTCAGCGAGCTAATAAGACAAACAGAAAGAATGACGATAATCTTTCAAGCTGTCCGCAATGGTCTTAATCAAAGTAACACTGTAGCAATCAGCTCTTTTGGTTATCGTAAACTTAATTGGTTGGACTGGATGGTCGGAATCATTTCTTTTATGAATTGGTCTAGAGGTTTAATACTCATTTTCACTAGTAGTGAACGTATTGCCATTTTTCTTGGTCATCCATTATTCCGAGCTAAAGATCGTCAGGCTTTAACGATTTGGGCTGTCATCACTTTATCGGTCATGTTCATCTTCCGTGAGTGGATTTTGAGTCTTGAAGCCAAAGGAAAACTCGAAATATTGTCCGTTTGGAAAGTTTGTTGCAACGGCTTCAATCGGACTCAATTAAAAATGGGTAATCTACACATCAATAGATTTCGATTGACGATTATTTTAGTGACAATCGTTGCTTACTGCGTGATGCCTGTAGTTCCTTTATTTACATTGGTTGGTTTTTTCACCCCAGTGCTGACCAATCCTTGGATGTACGAAATTCCTGAATTGGCATTCAGTTGTTTCCTTGGCTCATTTTCGTGCGCTTTAATTACCACTTTTCTCTTGAACTCGATTCTTGGATTTACTTGGTATTTTATTTGTACACTCGTCTTTCATCTCTATCGGTTGATGGATTTATTGGACAGGGCTGGTCGCTTGAAAAAATCAACCAGAGGAATGAATGAGAGAAATATAAAGTTATTATGTTTACTGATCATTCGTCGTCTCAACAGTTTTGAGTTAACTACGAGAAAGTTACGCTATGTATTCTTGTACTATTTCTTTGTATTTGCTTCTTCAGGTGATGTATACATTTTCCTTGGACTGGTTGTTAGAATTTACAATGACGTTTTAGCCAATATACTTGCACTAATCGGCACTATAATTCTTCCGGCTATTGGAATTTTCGGTTACATCTTTGGAAATTTCCTCTCTGAGGTATCAAAATTATTAGGTGATTGTAATGTTATTCTATTTGATACAAAATCGTCTCTTTTTTCATTTTTCATTATTTTTTGCTAGCTCGACGAGTTGACAGTTAGATTGCACCATTTGACTTCGAAGAATAGACTCTCATTGAAGACATTGAACAAGGTAATGGCTGGTTATTTGATTTTCATCAAAGAACTAATAAAGTCCGTTAAATGTACGATTTTTATGAAGGTTTCGGAAATAATGGATCGAGTCGCTGGACCATACAATGGCATCAAGCTCGGTGACTTTTTGACTATTGAGAAGAGCTTCTTTATATTCGTAAGATGATTTTCCTAATGATCTAAACAAACATTCACTCTTTTCGTCTTTTCTAGTTTATCTTGGAAAATATATCAACTCTTATGCTTTTCACGTGTAACATTGGACCTTTGATAAACTGATTCATAAATTCATAACTGCAACATCGATGTATAATAATGTAGATGTTTGATGTAGCCCATCCTAATTTTGGCTTGTCAAAAGTCAAGTGGCCGGATACTACTTCAGATTTCAAAAGAGTACTAGAATTTTATTAAATTTTACTAGAGACTTTACAATCATGACCTATTGCAAATTCTTTTCAACTGATTACGATAAATTCAAACCATGTTCGAAAGAATAAAATCTTAATGTAAAAAAGCATCGTCAGAATGTAGTAAAATAAAAATAAAATAAAGTCTGCTTTTACAACCGAACAAAATGCAATCGAAGTTTCCAATTAAAAGCTATTTTATGAGAAACTGTTGTGCAGAGGGATATTTTGTGAGTTTTTGACTCTACGAAAAAACATTCCTTAAATATTGACGCTTCCATCTTACAACTCGCAAGTTATCTAAGAGTCGCTCGATAGCCAGTAGATATTGCACCATTCTGGCGGTTCCTCTATTCGCGATCCTACATAAGTAATTATGTATCAGATTCGTTTTAGGCGACTTGTAGCTTACTATTTGTATAGATGAAAGATAACACCAACCAAAACACTCAGATAATCATGAAATATGTTTTTGAAAATCTGCTGTAAGTGTGATATTATGTTTATGTGAATAAAAAACAGAATAATCAGATATCCAGTGCAAAGATATCGACGATTAAATGTTCCAAATCATGACAAAGGATAACAATTAAGAGCACAATTATTGATAATGATTGTCTAACTTAATGTTACAAAAAATTCATAATTTGTGCTGATTTGATTCGATCTGGTGCTCTTTTTTGTATCTAAAATCTGTTCTACTAGATATTTTTGAATTTATCAATAACATATCAATATTTCAAATATTGAATTAAGTCACTGAGAAGACTAGTTTTTTCTCTGATTGTAACTGTCGTCGAGGCATTATTCTTTATATAAGAGTTTATCTAGAATTTTGACCGCATTTTTCGCAGTTTTGCACCTAATAAAAGATGTTACTACCATTGGCTGAAAAATTTTAGATATGACGTGTGTTGGAACAATCATAAACGATAATCGTGCTCTGAAATCGTAAGCCATTGTCATGGTTTGGAACATTTAATCGCCAATATCTTTGCACTGGATATCTGATCATTTTGTTTTTAACAATTTTGCACTTGGCACTTCTTTTTCATTCACATATCACACTTACTCCAGATTTTTAAAAACCCTCATGATTATCTGAATGTTTGGTTGCAGGATATTATCTTTCATAAACGCAAGTAGACGCACCTAAAACGAATCTGATTGATAATCACTTCTGTAGGATCTAAAATTTTTGTTTCTATTGTTTTCTGACGATCTCATTGGTTTTGTCACTGCTGATGTATATATATCGGATGAATGGGAAATCTCTACCATAATAAATGTTTATTCAAAATGAATATTTTGATTTTATTCTGTCTAATTTTTTCGCCCGTTCATGGGCTTAATTTAACTCCAATAGTTAATTTGACTAGTGGTCCTATCCAAGGTAAAGTTACTGAATATGAATCAATTGATGTTTACCAGTTTCTTGGCATTCCTTATGCAAAGCCACCGGTTGGTAAGTTGAGGTTACAGTTACCAGTTAAACCCGATCCATGGACTGAGGTTAAATCAGTGACTGACTTTGGCCCAGCTTGTTTCCAACCAATGAATCCGGTTTTAAACATACCTTATACAGGAAAAACTAGTGAAGACTGTCTTTATCTAAATATCTATGTTACTGAATCAACTTTTAATAACTCATCAGAACGACTACGACCAGTACTTTTCTGGATTCATGGATGAGCTTTTACATTTGGTTATGGAAATCAAGGAAACACTGAAGGAATTCCAATGGTCCCGTTACATGATGTTATACTTGTTACTATAAATTATCGTCTTAATGCATTCGGTTTCATCTACTTTGGAGCCAATGAACCTCGAATTCCTCCAAATATTGGTTTTCAAGATCAACTATTTGCTTTGAAATGGGTTCATGAAAATATTCAAATGTTTGGTGGTGATCCGAATAGTGTGACAATTTTTGGTGAATCTGCCGGATCTATGTCAATCTCTGCTCATCTATTGTCCCCACCTTCAAAAGGACTATTTAAACGCGCTATTCTTGAGTCAGGAACAGTTTATACAGATCACGATGTTGATGTCTTGATTACAGATTCTTGGAAACTTTACAACAAAACATCATGTTCAAAATCGGAAGATGTTCTTGAATGCATGCAGAATTTGACAGCAAATGAAATCCTAAACAGTCTGGATAATAAATTAGTAGCATTTACCTTCACAGCTGGTGGCAATATACTTCCATACGAACCATCCAAATTCTCGCAGATGATTATATGATATTCAGTTGACCTTTTACTGGGCGTTGAAAAGAATGAAGCTTTCGAAGTTTCATGAATGCTATCGATCCCATGGCCTTCAAATACTTTTCTCCTGCCCCGATATCTTTCATGAAGCTACAAACTTTTGGAACGTATTTGATTCTAAATCAATTGACTATTCCGTGAACTCTACTTTGGTCCGGAAACTAACAACTCAGATTATTTGCGAGCTCAACTCGAAAGAGCCTACAGTGACCTTTTTTTTGTTTGTCCGACTTATATATTTGGGCATCAATACGCTTCTTACTTAGGCAAACAGGGTGGTAAAGTGTATGCTTATTACCACACACAGAGACCAAAAGCTTATCTTCCTTTTTTTAACGAATGGATGGGAACTTTTCATTCTTCTGATATTCCATATGTTTTCGGGTTACCTCTGATAAATCCTGGTTATTCACAGAAAGATATTTCATTGAGTCGTGAAATGATGAAAATCTGGACTCATTTTGCTGAAAATGGGTAAGTCTATTCATTTCATCTAGTAATCAATTAATTGACTTTGATTCATTATTACTTTACAGTGAGCCTCCAATGGTTGGTGAAACTAAATGGAAACCGTTCCAAGAAAAGATGTCAGCAATGATACTAAACATAGATGATTGGGGGAAAACTGAATTGGAAAGAGTTGAATTCTGTCTCAAAGAATGGGATTATTTATATCCACATGTTAGTAAGAAATTTCAGTTATTCAGATATCAATCGCCAATCCTATAAAAAGAGTCCATGCAATGGGAAAACTCAATTTAAATCATGTCACAAAAGATGTGCTGCGAGATGATAACTAGGTGATTGTTCATTGCTTATTTTGTTAGCATACAATAACATTTCAATATTATTTTAATATTCTATTTCCATTTCAATAAATTTTCACTGATTCTTATAAATATTATTGATTTCCATATCAATGTTGATCATCTTTAAATAAAAATGAGTATCTACCGATTAACGCATAGAAATCTATTATCAATGAAAATCATTATTATCTAATTAATTATCAATCAATGATCTTTTACCATAAAAAAGCATATTTTTTGCCATACTGTATCTATCTACTGTATGCATACTAAACTGCAGAGCTGATAGTTTTGCGATTATTTACATCCGAATACTCATTTGAATATCCGTGAATATTTGCAAGTGATTGAAGTAAGAGAGTAAGAGGAAAATCATAAAGATTTAACAAAACATAAATTGAACACAACAGAAATCGGTCGTAAAAATTTGACTTCACTAAATAATCGTATTTTATTATGTGGAATACTCGGATAATATTCTATTAGGGTTGTTATTAGTCATTGTTATGAATCAATTATTTAGATTTTTAATTTCTGCAAAAACAGATAATGTACTAATAATTTCCAAAACATTTTTCAATTATCACCTTTCAATCAAAAGTTGACAGTGGTTAGTTACTCATGAGATCCACTGAGAACTGTGCAATGGCTAGCCATTTATAAAATTTTAAAGGTAATTATGATTAATATGCTTATTCTGCCGGTTCCATGCTTTCATTGTGATTGATAATAAAATCAATTTCAATTGATTGATAATCAATGATCAATATTAAAATATATTAGCAATACATTATAATGAATTAACGATCACGAAATCACAGGTGCAAATGGTTTCATGCTAATGTGCCCTTTCCAATTAACAATTCATTACTTTGAAGTAAAGACGCATAGAAACAGACAGTCGAGAATATAATACAAAATATTGACTGTAATGCATTGATATTGAACAAATAAAACAGACTTGTTCTTAATTGCCATAAGTTCAACATTTTTCATGGAAATATATAAAATGGTAGATTTCACTGAAAGTTATGTGAGTGTCCGAAAAAGCTACTTTTTAATAGATTTGGCAAACTTGTTTCGTTATTCATTTGTAACTCCAGATCCTAATAAAGTCAATATGTGTGCTGCTCAACTTGTACAGCGAACTGAAAGGCTGACTATTATCTTTCAAGTTTTACGTAATGGTTTGGATCAAACTAACTCTATTAAAAATACATTTGGTTACCGTCGATACAATTGGCTGGATTGGATCATTGGAATAATATCTTTGATCACTTGGTTCAGATGTATAGTACTTATTTGCACTAGTAGTGTGAGTGTGGGCATTATTCTTGGAGATCCACTTTTTCGCAGTAAAGATCGTCTAGCTTGCATAATATTGGCATTTATTACTTTAACAGTCTTGTTCAGCTTTCGAGAGTGGATTTTGAGCCTTGAAACCAAAGGAAACCTCGAAACATTGTCGATATGGAAGTTTTGTCGCAACGGTTTTAATCCAGTTTACTTACAAATGGATAAATTAAACATGAATAGATTTCGCTTGATGGTTATTTCAGTGTCTCTTGTTTCTTATTGCACGATCCTTTTTGGTCCTTTATTTACATCATTTGTGTTTATCACACCATTACTGACCAATCCTTGGATGTACAAGATTCCTGAATTGGTATTCAGTAGTTTCCTTTGGTCACTTTCAGAGATTTTTATCGCCTCTTTTCTTTTGAACGCGGTACTCGGATTCAGCTGGTATTTAATATGTACATTTGTCTTTCATCTCTACCGTTTGCTTAATCTGTTTTTCAAGGCTGATTACTTGAAAAATTCAACTGAAGCAGTGTATGCAAGAGACATCCAATTGTTGTGTTTACTGATCATTCGTCGTCTCAATAGTTTTGAGTTGGCTGTTAGGAAATCACGCTATGTATTGCTGTACATTTTCATTGTATTAACTTTGCTATGTGATACGTTTATTTTCCTTGGATTGATTGTTAGAGTCTACAATGACTTCTTAGCCAGTCTACTTGCCACAGTTGGCATTTTTGGTCTTCCGTGTATCGGAGTTTTCGGTTATATCTTCGGAAATTTCATCTCAGAGGTGATTAGCTATTGATTGTATTATTGTATTCGCTACAAAATCATCTCTTTCTTTTTGTTTCTTAGCTCGATAAGTTAACCGTTAGATTGCACCAGGTGACTCTGAATAATAAACTCTCATTGAAGGAAATGAGCAAGGTAATGATTGGTTTATGGATTTCAATAAAATACTAAATTAATTTATGAACTTAAAATGTAATAAAGACTTCTTAATGTACAATTTTTATGCAGGTTTTGGAAGTAATGGATCGAGTCGCTGGACCATACAATGGCTTAAAGATCGGAGATTTTTTGACTATTAAAAAGAGCTTCTTCATATTCGTAAGATGATCTACCTGATAATCTGATTAAACATTAACTCTTGTCTTTTCTAGTTTGTCTTAGAAAATATATCAACTCTTATGCTATTTACGGTTAACATTGGGCCTTTGATAAAGTGATACAAAAATATTACATAAATAAAGCATCGATTACAAGCATGAAATAATACAAACTATCGCTAGAATAGTTATGAATGCCAAACAGCAATTGATGATCGCAGTACACAGCGAGAAAAGTGTGATATAACAGACTATTACGTTACTGTTACTATTAATGTTACGTTATTGTCTGTATTTGTTTTTCTTGGGCTCTATGTTGTAATAGAGCTAGTTGATATGCCAATTTCTGATCGAAAAGTCACATAAAAAGACCCAAATTCTTAATTCTCTTTGTCATAATAAGAAATTCAAAAGTATTAATTATAATGAAATCTTTTGCTGTTGTCGAATTGATTAGATTCATTTTGAGATGAAGAAAACCTTTTCTTAAGAAAACTCAAAGCTTTTTTGGTCTAATTGAATTTTGTTAGATACAATGACATGAAAATTGAGTCAGAAAGACTCAAGTGATTGTGATAACGCATTTCGACCTAGTTGCCAAAAACTTGTATGTATTTTCTAAATCAAATCATGTTGATACGTATGTTTTTCAATCACTAATACGACGGACGGAAAGATTAACAATAATTTATCAGGTTATCCATGGACTTAATTAAAGTAAGCCTGTTACTGCCAACTCTTTTGGTTATCGTCAACTTGATCGGTTGGATTGGATCATCGAAATAACTTTTTTGATCAATTGGGTTAGAGTGCTTTTATACTCATTAGGAATGATAGTGAATCGGTTCCCATTTATCAATATCTTGATGGTCCATTATTTCGTAATAAAGTATATTTCGTATATCCATCAACCTTTATTAATATGGTGTTGGGTAATTTTAGATACCATATTCATCTTTCGTGAATGGATTCTGAGCCTTGGATCCAAAGGAAATCTTGCGGTGTTATACGATTGACATGTTCTTCTCAACGGCTTCACTGGGACTTATTTGAAGTTGGATAATAGCAACAGTAAAAGGCTTCGTACAATAATCATTTCAGTGTCTATTTTTGCTTATTACACTAAATGCTGTTACACTGTTTCTGCGCCTTGAATCCAATTGTTAATTTTTTGAACTAATTGTTCATCTGTTTCAGTTAATTTATTTATTAGTAAAAACATTAATTTTAATGCTGTTCATGGTTAACATTGGATCTTTGATAAAGTAATTGGAAATCGAAAAGTCCAAGTGTAACTGAATATCTAGAACTAAAATAGAGTAAAATGTTATCGCCGAGCCGAGAAAAATCTAATATTGGTGACGCAACCATTGCCTTGAAGTCTCAATCATTTTCTATCTTATTTCTTGAAGCAACACTCACTAATGGATTGATGGTCTTGGATCGCTCTTGAAGCTGCGGTTGCTCATGATACGAATCTGACAGACGGTAAAGATCGAATAAGCCCGAATACTTATTGCCAATTAATCGTTACATATTTGCATTGTAATCAATAGTGAAATAAATTTTAATCGATGATCAATTCTCAATATTACAATATATTAGCAATGTATTATTGTGAATTTAACGATCACGAAATCAAAAGTACAAATGATTTCATGATAATGTGATCTCTTCAATTAAAATGCATTAGTTTGGGATAAAAGCGCATAGAAACAGACAGGCAAGAATGTAATAAGATTGTAAGGTTTCCAGGGATGAGGAATAGAGACTTACAACTGAGATCAGTTTCTCAATAACTTTAAGCAATTTTACGGGTGTTCATCAGGCATTGAACCTGAATCTAAAATATACTGGAGTCCTGGGACAGGATCATTTGGAGATGTAATCATTGATTCAAAACTAGATAAATCGAGTTTATTTGACATAGCCATTTTGAAACACTTGACTGATGAGAAACATAAAAATGAGCCTCAGAATGTTCATTGTGCTTCTTTATATATGTTTCAAAGTTAATTAAATTAAATTAGATTAGATTTAAAGTTAAGCTTATTGTTGTTTCTTGAAATTATTGGTTAAGTTAAGCAGCTGCCACCAGTCTTAAGCCGAACCATATGAAGTGGCTTTGCTCTGAAAAAAGACTTTACGGACCTTTCGCCTGAACTAAAATACGGTATAAATAAATTGAATTAGCAGCATCAACTTATGAAGTGTTCTCTGGGTTGTGTAATCATACCAAAAAGCGTGAATATACAATATTTCAATCCTAATTGTGGTGCATTAGATCTACTTTTATCATAACTTGAGATACAGATGATTCTGTGGAGTAAATAAACATTTGGGTTTATGAATAGGTTTTTGAAATCCTGAGCTTGACCTGATACAATAATTCGCTTAAATTTTCTCAATATTTTGATGATTTGTTGTTGAACATGGTAAAATGTTGGTGCATATTTTAACTAAAGCCATTTCATGTTATCTGTTTAGTCATGAAGTCTTCAATCGCTGTTTTCAACATCATAAACTTTTGTTATTGCTGATTCGGAAATCTTAATGCTAATCCAATATCAAAAAGAATCCACCAATTTGGTTGTTAGACTTTGAACCTAAATTAAGTCAAATGATTTACCAAGCGTTCTCAGTTAGAGAGTACTTCATGGTCAAAATCTGGTGTTATTACTGAATAACATGAAATGTGATGAAATGAGTGATAGTTAACCAGCAGATTGAGAGCACACGCTCGTCAATTTCCGAA